CCCACTTGGGACACCTCCTACACCACCCACCACAACTACTACTGTGCTGTAGCTGACACATAACCATACATGGGCAGTGGTGTGTGTCAATCAGGCGACAATCTGTGTTTGACACGGACACCCACTTGGGACACCTCCTACACCACCCACCACAACTACTACTGTGCTGTATCTGACACATAACCATACATGGGTAGCAGTGTGTGTCAATCAGGCGGACAATCTGTGTTTGACACGGACACCCACTTGGGACACCTCCTACACCATCCACCACAACTACTACTGAGCTGTAGCTGACACATAACCATACATGGGTAGCAGTATGTGTCAATCAGGTGGACAATCTGTGTTTGAGACGGACACCCACTTGGGACACCTCCTACACCATCCACCACAACTACTACTGAGCTGTAGCTGACACATAACCATACATGGGTAGCAGTATGTGTCAATCAGGTGGACAATCTGTGTTTGAGACGGACACCCACTTAGGACACCTCCTACAACACCCACCACAACTACTACTGTGCTGTAGCTGACACATAACCATACATGGGCAGTGGTGTGTGTCAATCAGGCGACAATCTGTGTTTGCCACGGACACCCACTTGGGACACCTCCTACACCACCCACCACAACTACTACTGTGCTGTATCTGACACATAACCATACATGGGCAGTGGTGTGTGTCAATCAGGCGACAATCTGTGTTTGACACGGACACCCACTTGGGACACCTCCTACACCACCCACCACAACTACTACTGTGCTGTATCTGACACATAACCATACATGGGTAGCAGTGTGTGTCAATCAGGCAGTCAATCTGTGTTTGACACGGACACCCACTTGGGACACCTCCTACAACACCCACCACAACTAATACTGTGCTGTAGCTGACAACATAACCGAACATGGGTAGCAGTGTGTGTCAATCAGGCGGACAATCTGTCTTTGACACGGACACCCACTTGGGACAGCTCCTACACCATCCACCACAACTACTACTGTGCTGTATCTGACACATAACCATACATGGGCAGTGGTGTGTGTCAATCAGGCGACAATCTGTGTTTGACACGGACACCCACTTGGGACACCTCCTACACCACCCACCACAACTACTACAGAGCTGTAGCTGATACATACCATACGTGTGAGCAGTGTGTGTCAATCAGGTGGACAATCTGTGTTCGACACGGACACCCACTTGGGACACCTCCTACAACACCCACCACAACTACTACTGTGCTGTAGCTGAAACATAACCATGCATGGGTAGCAGTGTGTGTCAATCAGGCAGACAATCTGTGTTTGACACGGACACCCACTTGGGACACCTCCTACAACATCCACCACAACTACTACTGTGCTGTAGCTGAAACATAACCATACATGGGTAGCAGTGAGTGTCAATCAGGCGGACAATCTGTGTTTGACACGGACACCCACTTGGGACACCTCCTACAACATCCACCACAACTACTACTGTGCTGTAGCTGAAACATAACCATACATGGGTAGCAGTGAGTGTCAATCAGGCGGACAATCTGTGTTTGACACGGACACCCACTTGGGACACCTCCTACAACACCCACCACAACTACTACTGTGCTGTAGCTGAAACATAACCATGCATGGGTAGCAGTGTGTGTCAATCAGGCAGACAATCTGTGTTTGACACGGACACCCACTTGGGACACCTCCTACAACACCCGCCACAACTACTACTGTGCTGTAGCTGACACATAACCATACATGGGTAGCAGTGAGTGTCAATCAGGCGGACAATCTGTGTTTGACACGGACACCCACTTGGGACACCTCCTACAACACCCACCACAACTACTACTGTGCTGTAGCTGAAACATAACCATACATGGGTAGCAGTGAGTGTCAATCAGGCGGACAATCTGTGTTTGACACGGACACCCACTTGGGACACCTCCTACAACACCCACCACAACTACTACTGTGCTGGAACTACCCCCATAGAATAAATTTAGACACTGTCTGCTCTTTATTCTGTTTAACACCCAAACGATCATTGCTTGAAATGTAATTTTAAATCTATTGCTCCATAAATATTGTAAACAACATCACATTTAAAGGTTTTGTATTTTTAAATTTAGAAGAATTTAAATCGTCATCGATAGAGTTCCTTTTAATTGTGCGAGCGTGCTAAAATTGGCAAATACGTGCATATTTTACTATTGCTTCTCAACCCATACCAAAGATTAAAACATACTCGTACGTGTACACTCGTATACTGTACGTTTTGGTGTCCACTATCCAAACTGTTACTACAACGCCAACCACCGATGATGCACCCATGAGTACGAAGAATTTGTATAAACGTGTATTAGACTGGCTGGGTAGCTGAGTAGTAGTGATCGCCTAAAAAGGTTGCCGGATTCATCTGTAGAAAATGTAGTAGCTTTTTGTTGGCTCGAACCTGGACCAAGCTGTCAGTGATCATTGGGCTTTCAATTAATGATCCTGACTTATGATACAGATTATCTTAGTCAGTAAGTCTACACTAGTCATCTCAATCCATTTTACACTCATCCTTCACTCACATTTGGGCAAAAATACGCACATAGTTTTGTTTAATAAAACAGCTTTTCATCTATTTTATATTTATGTAAAATGCATCGTACCGAAATTTTTTTCACATCCAGGTCAATTTATTAACATCCATCTCCACTAGTACAGCAATATTTTTCGTATTGAGTGTAGAGCACATTTTTATACATATTTTATTTGTGAGTGAGACCATATTGTACTAAATGTTATCACCACAATCAGCAAGCCCCGCAACTACGATGCAACGCAGCGTCAATCATAGTTGTTCATATTTCATTTAACCCGGCTTGGGATTTGAGGAGAAAAACAGGGATGTCACTGGTTGTGGCACGGCTCTAATTGGCCCATTTCTGAAATGTCGATAATCCTACGAACTCAGTCTGTTATTTTACCAATCCTACACAGTAATTTCAAGGTAAAGTACATATTATTTTAAATTAGTGAAATATAAGTGAAAGATAACTGAAATATACAGTGAAAGATGAGTGTAGAATGAAGTTGTTAAGGATGTTAAGTTTTCTGCAGCTTTAATCATGATTAGGATTAGCTATTTCATTATACTAAGTTCAAAAGATTTTAATTTATCCGCTCCACGTCTTGACCCACTATTAAAAACAAAGCTCAACAGCAACAGCTGAGATTTGTCAAAACGTCAGTCAGCTACAACATACATTAAGCAGACTAAAGTGGTGGGGGAACATCCCCCAAACAGTGGGAGTGAATAGAGGCACGGAGGCACAGCAGCGTGTAAACATGAAGTGTGTCAAACATACATCAGAGCGTGCTGTCGTGTAGTAAGTGGAAGAGTGGAGGGAGGCACGGAGGTACAGCAGCGTGCCAACATGAAGTGTGTCAAACATACATCAGAGCGTGCTGTCGTGTAGTAAGTGTAGGGGTGGAGGGAGGCACGGAGGCTCAGCAACTTGTCAACATGAAGTGTATCAAACAGACATTGGAGCCAGCTGTCGTGTAGTAAGTGTAGGGGTGGAGGGAGGCACGGAGGCAAAGCAGCGTGTAAACATGAAGTGTGTCAAAGCCACATCGGAACGTGCTGTCGTGTATAAGTGGGAGAGTGGAGGGAGGCACGGAGGTACAGCGGAATGTCAACATGAAGTGTATCAAACAGACATCGGAGCCTGCTGTCGTGTAGTAAGTGGGAGAGTGAAGGGGGGCACGGAGGCACAGCGGCATGTCAAAACGAAGTGTGTCAAACAGATATCAGAGCGTGCTGTCGTGTAGTAAGTGGGAGAGTGGAGGGAGGCACGGAGGCTCATCAGCGTGTCAACATGAAGTGTGTCAAACAGACATCGGAGCGTGCTGTCGTGTAGTAAGTAGGAGAGTGGAGGGAGGCACGGAGGCACAGCGGCGTGTCAACATGAAGTGTGTCAAACAGACATCAGAGCGTGCTGTCGTGTAGTAAGTGGGAGAGTGGAGGGAGGCACGGAGGCACAGCGGCGTGTCAACATGAAGTGTGTCAAACATACATCGGAGCGTGCTGTCGTGTAGTAAGTGGGAGAGTGGAGGGAGGCACGGAGGCTCAGCGGCGTGCCAACATGAAGTGTGTCAAACAGATATCGGAGCGTGCTGTCGTGTAGTAAGTGGGAGAGTGGAGGGAGACACGGAGGCACAGCAACGTGCCAACATGAAGTGTGTCAAACAGACATCGGAGCGTGCTGTCGTGTAGTAAGTGGGAGAGTGGAGGGAGGCACGGAGGCACAGCGGCGTGCCAACATGAAGTGTGTCAAACAGACATCGGAGCGTGCTGTCGTGTAGTAAGTGGGAGAGTGGAGGGAGGCACGGAGGCACAGCAGCGTGTCAACATGAAGTGTGTCAAACAGACATCAGAGCGTGCTGTCGTGTAGTAAGTGGGAGAGTGGAGGGAGGCACGGAGGCACAGCGGCGTGTCAACATGAAGTGTGTCAAACAGACATCGGAGCGTGCTGTCGTGTAGTAAGTGGGAGAGTGGAGGGAGGCACGGAGGCACAGCGGCGTGCCAACATGAAGTGTGTCAAACAGACATCGGAGCGTGCTGTCGTGTAGTAAGTGGGAGAGTGGAGGGAGGCACGGAGGCACAGCGGCGTGCCAACATGAAGTGTGTCAAACAGACATCGGAGCGTGCTGTCGTGTAGTAAGTGGGAGAGTGGAGGGAGGCACGGAGGCACAGCGGCGTGCCAACATGAAGTGTGTCAAACAGACATCGGAGCGTGCTGTCGTGTAGTAAGTGGGAGAGTGGAGGGAGGCACGGAGGCACAGCGGCGTGCCAACATGAAGTGTGTCAAACAGATATCGGAGCGTGCTGTCGTGTAGTAAGTGGGAGAGTGGAGGGAGGCACGGAGGCACAGCGGTGTGTCAACATGAAGTGTGTCAAACAGATATCGGAGCGTGCTGTCGTGTAGTAAGTGGGAGAGTGGAGGGAGGCACGGAGGCACAGCGGTGTGTATAATGCCGCACCCGAGCGCGGTTATTTCCGCAGTCGCCGCCGGCGCTTCATCGCCAAATTACGAGGGAGGAGCGAGCGTGTCTGTCGCCTCGCCAGTTAACTGAATTATTCAGCGTTTTATAGTTCGCAGCGCGTGGGGTGTTGGTGGGGTGGTGGTGGCACGCCTGACAGCAGTCCAGTGCCGCCACAACTTCGCAGTGCATCGCTCCATATCTCTCTTCCTCACACAACACCTCGTTATCAGTAGCCGCCCTCGGGGATCTCGTTCGCTTCAGGTACTTCAAAATATTTATTTTATTGTTCCATTTTTATGATTGTAAACAAACCATGATATGTAGATAGAAGTAAAATGTTTACTTAGAAGTATATCCTAATATTAATTACCCGCTTTTACTTTGTTGATTTTGGTCTCCGTAATTTTCTTTTTTCGGAAAATTAATTGTATTACAATATTGCTCTTTAAATAATTTATCATACAAATTAATCTTGGTACATCGATAACAAAAATCTAAAATCTAAATATTTAGTGTACGTATGTCTACTTTGTATCTGGCTCCAGAACGGCACTTTTAAAATTATTTTATTATTTTAAATTAATTTTTATTATTTCTAATATTTTATTTTTACCTTATATTTTTATTTTATTATCTTTATATATTTTTTATTGTTTTTTTTTTATTATTTAAACATTTTTAAATTTTACATTTAACTTTTATTTAAGTTTACTTTACACCAGATACCGGTAGGTAAACATTAAGGACTCCTTCAAATTTTGTCAAGGACAATACGCTGTAATTTTTATCAGTTTTATTATTAAAATAAATGTAATCAGTCGGTAACAAAACTTACTGACAATTTGTACCAATCACATAATTAAGAGTAAATTTTCAATTTTGTACAAGTGCCTTAAAACTGATGACACTGTGACGGTTTCACCTTAGTTAGTTTAAAAGATTAAGAACCAAATACCAGTAAAATCCAGTAGAACTTTAACTGGTATTTGGTTGAACGGCTACATGCAGCATTATAGATGACTGATACCAGTGATATAAAGAGCCAGCCTAACAGTGCTACAGCCTATTTGGCGGACTCAACGTGTCATGGAATGCCGCATAGAACCCCGGTTAGCTATACTGTATGCCAAATTAAAGTCTATGAGATATATTTTGAAGAGATACGACATTTATAGCCATGTTGTACAATGCGTGGCACATTCATCGTGACATGCTGGCGACGTGTAGTACTTCACAGTTCTTCTGTTGGCTACATGCCACATGGAGGCAGATACGACATCGATAAGCCACAAGCCAGGCTCCCTAATCCTCCTAGGGCTAACCGCACTTCATACTGTGTGACGTGACATGCTAGTAAAGTATAGTTCTTCGCAGTTCTTCTGTTGGCTACATGCCACATGTTGACAGACTTCCAAGAGTGATACATCTAGGCCTATAGCCAGGCTAACCATACTTTATACTGTGTGACATGTCCGCCGTGACATGCTAGCGACATACAGGGCTGTACTGTGGTCTGGTCGGTTACATGCCGAATGTAGAGAGAAATCCTAGAGTGATAATACATTTATATCCAGGTTAACCGTATTTTATACTTTGTGACATGTTCGCCGTGACAAGCTAGCGACGTATAGTGCTGTACTGTGGTCTGGTCGGTTACATGCCGCATGTAGAGAGAAATCCTAGAGTGATAATACATTTATAACCAGGTTAACCGTATTTTATACTGTGTGATATGTTCACCGTGACATGCTAGCGACATATAGTGTTGTACTGTGGTCTGGTCGGTTACATGCCGTATGTAGAGAGAAATCCTAGAGTGATAATACATTTATAACCAGGTTAACCGTATTCTAAACTGTGTGACATGTTCGCCGTGACATGCTAGCGACATATAGTGCTGTACTGTGGTCTGGTCGGTTACATGCCGTATGTAGAGAGAAATCCTAGAGTGATAATACATTTATAACCAGGTTAACCGTATTCTAAACTGTGTGACATGTTCGCCGTGACATGCTAACAACATATAGTGCTGTACTGTGGTCTGGTCGGTTACATGCCGCATGTAGAGAGACATCCTAGAGTGATACGGCATCGATAGCCAGACTAACCGCACTTTATACTGTGTGACATGTTCGCCGTGACATGCTAACCAACCTATAGTGCTGTACTGTGGTCTGGTCGGTTACATGCCGCATGTAGAGAGCCATCCTAGAGTGATACGACATCGATAGCCAGACTAACCGCACTTTATACTGTGTGACATGTTCGCCGTGACATGCTAACCAACCTATAGTACTGTACTGTGGTCTGGTTGGTTACATGCCGCATGTAGAAAGCCATCCTAGAGTGATACGGCATCGATAGCGAGACTAACCGCACTTTATACTGTGTGACATGTTCGCCGTGACATGCTCACAACATATAGTGCTGTACTATGGCCTGGTCGGTTACATGCCGCATGTAGAGAGCCATCCTAGAGTGATACGGCATCGATAGCCAGACTAACCGCACCTTATACTGTGTGACATGTTCGCCGTGACATGCTCACAACATATAGTGCTGTACTGTGGTCTGGTCAGTTACATGCCGCATGTAGAGGGACATCCTAGAGTGATACGACATCGATAGCGAGACTAACCGCACTTTATACTGTGTGACATGCTCACAACATATAGTACTGTACTGTGGTCTGGTTGGTTACATGCCGCATGTAGAGAGCCATCCTAGAGTGATACGGCATCGATAGCGAGACTAACCGCACTTTATACTGTGTGACATGTTCGCCGTGACATGCTCACAACATATAGTGCTGTACTATGGCCTGGTCGGTTACATGCCGCATGTAGAGATACATCCTAGAGTGATACGGCATCGATAGCCAGACTAACCGCACCTTATACTGTGTGACATGTTCGCCGTGACATGCTCACAACATATAGTGCTGTACTGTGGTCTGGTCAGTTACATGCCGCATGTAGAGGGACATCCTAGAGTGATACGACATCGATAGCGAGACTAACCGCACTTTATACTGTGTGACATGCTCACAACATATAGTGCTGTACTGTGATCTGGTCGGTTACATGCCGTATGTAGAGATAAATCCTAGAGTGATAATGCGTCGATATCCAGGCTAACCGTACTTTATACTGTGTGACATATTCGCCGTGACATGCTAGCGACATGTAGTGCTGTACTGTGGTCTGGTCGGTTACATGCCGCATGTAGAGAGACATCCTAGAGTGATATTATATCGATAAATATACTAAACGTACCTGGCTATATGAGCGATGCATCCGCTTTTCCGCTAGTATTTATTGCGTTCGGCTGTAGTTTGCTTCATGCCTCTTAACAGAGATATGTGCTGTCCTGCGTATAGTCATCTAGATAATTATTCCACCCATCAGTTTTCTACGATACGATTCGTAGGTTTTGCATTTCATGTATGAATTTCCAGAAAATTTTAAAATAAAAATCTTAGCCGTGTGTATAAATAATAAAGTTGGAGCTCTTTTCGATGCCAACTGATATTCTGGAACTAAAGCAATGTAACATAGTGTACAATAAAATGTAAAAGGGAAATTAGTTCAAATCCGAATGGTATGGACGTGGGTGAAGTGCATTGCGATATGCGATGCGGATGCGACAGGCTGGGCTGTGACAGCGACACAGCGACATAGCGACATAGCGGCTCTCGCTGGATGTTTCCCTCGATTATTTGAATAAAGCCTCGGCCTGAGTCTGTGTACTCGGCTGGCGATAATCTGGCGAGGGGATGCTTTACTTCCACTAACTTCACCCCTCCCCCCCTATCTCCACAACGTTCTTCTACTATCAGTACAAGTACCATCGCATATGCAGGAGTTATCGAAAACATCCTTATCATGTTTTGGAACCAACGTCAAGTCAAATTCACTAGCACTTGCCGTTCGTAAGTCAACATAACCTCCACCACATCTATTAACAGTGAAAAGTATCTTCACCATTATCCAATCACTAACAACTCCTTAAGCACTCTTTACTTATTTACTCTCATTGCTATCAACAATTATCACTTTAGCAACATTTTTTAAATTTATAAAAATAGGCTCTACCCTCAAAATTATGTTGTTAAATACACTTCCACCACTGCCCTTTGATTTCTTCCACTACTTCCTGTTTTATTTACATTGTCTCTACTGCCAGTACGATACATCCTCACCTTTCCTTTTAACACTTACTCCACTTTTCATTACCTTTAATCACTATCACCTCAACTATTATCGCCTCTTCTGGTAGAACCAAAAAACCTTTACCATTGTTTTCTTACCAACTCCATTTCTACCACTCTACTCCATTCTTATCACCATTTGGCACTACCACTGTCACTTACACCGACTCTATTAACAGTATCAAACTAACCTCGACTCACTTCACCACCACTACTACGAGTCAAACCTCATTTAACTCGACCTCCAGTTGAATAAAAATTCTTCACCCTCTATCGCCTTTTCGAGCATCACCTCATTCCCTTCCATCATATCAACTCCTTCGCCAACTCATTTATCATCAGATTCACGTCACCAACATTTCCATGATCACATTCGTCCTCTCAACAACAACCACGAAACCTCTAACCATATTAACGCATACACTTCCATGTACACAATCACTATTATTTCCACCCTACAAACACTTTCCCAACAACACATAGTTGTCCCAATCGTTTCAACACCTGCCTTAATATACAACAATGTTGGGTTTCTTGGCTATCTTAATCCTTTGTCCTTATCCTTATCGTTATCCTTTAACACTCGTCCTTTATTCATCTTCGATTTAAAATCTAAAATACGCACCCTGTACGTGTTTTGCAAACTGGTATGCCTAATTTTATGGTAAAACCCAACGCACGAAACGGAGTAAAGTCAACAAACCGCGGGCTCGTGGTGAGGGACGAGGTGGAGGCGGTGGAGGCGGCGGACAAGGGTGGCGGAGGCGGCAGTGGTGTTGATAAGAGCTCTGCGGGGTGTTATAAATTAGTTGTCACCGGCGCCGCGTCGCGCGCTGCTGTAATAGCTGTAATTTGTACGGCAGCGACAGAGGAAAGTAGAAGTTGTACGTCGCATTGTGCCGAGCCTAGAGGGTACCATTATGTTTGCGTTAAAAATACGTACGTCTCTCATTGTTTTGTTTTTATACTGCGGCTGTTTGTATGCAGTTTGACACTGAAAAATATTTACGTCAGCAAAAACACTCATAAAAAGTATTACACGGTCTAACGT